CTGCAATCTGTTGAAAATAGACCACAATTTCCTTTTGCACCAGGTCCGTGAGAAACACGGTTTTGAATTTTTGTCTCAACCTTCCTTCCCTCCGTTTATTCAAATGACGATTTTGAAACCTGATCATCTCCGTGTTTTTTAATTAAGATTTTATTTCTTGTAGCAGTCGATAATTTCAGCATTTACGAGCTTAGCATTTTTTCGACAAGATAGAAACAAAATAGTTAAATGTCTGTATAATTTAAAAAAAGAATTAAAAAATCTTCATTCTAACTTCCTAATTTCATAAACCTCCCTTTGTAAAATTATTCGCTTTTTGAAGAAATAAAACCTTCTAAAAAGCACACAGCGATTAACAGGTTTTAAAATCTGTTGATGGGAAAGTTTTAAGACACAAAAATTCAAAACTCGATTGAGACTTAGGAGGAGAGCGTCACCACCTGCCCTTCACAGATCTCGATGCCCTTTGGATATGTGGTAGGGTCCCATGAGTGTACTAAAACCCTGCAGTGCTTTGACTCCATGGCCACATTTACGTCCGCCACACCCACTCAAAGGGATGAAAACCACAAAAGTTACCAACTTCAAAAATCCACCAAAAATCCAATTTTGCGCGGATTTTGATAAAATTTGCATTTTTGTGATCCCAGATACTTGTCTGATAATATTCAATAGCAATCTCAACTTTTTTGAAATTATCGAAATTTTCGAGCTGATGAACTATTCGAAAAAATTCAAAATTTCAAAAAAGTTGGGATATCTACTGGATATGATCACACAAGTATCTAGGATCACAAAAATGTAAATTTTGTCAAAATCCGAGCAAAATTGGATTTTTGGTGACATTTAAAGTACATGAAAACAGGGCTTTTTTCGTGTTTTGGCGCCTTTGAGTGGGTGTGGCGGGCGCAAATGTGGCCATGGAGTCAAACCACTTCAGGGTTTTAGTACACTCATGGGACCCTACCACATATCCAAAGGGCATCGAGATCTGTGAAGGGCAGGTGGCGAAGCTCCCCTCCTTAGAGAATGCTAAGCTCATAGTTGAAATATGACTTCGAAAATATTAGTTTAATACATATAAACTAGCTTATCATCTCTCCCTCAATGGCTTTATTATGTAGCAGCAAGCCACCATTAATTGTCGCCAAACTGTTGCTCCTAGAGCAAGTTCAACAGAATGAGAGATGAGGCAAAGAACGTAATTCGATAAACTTTAGGTGTTTTAAAACAAGTTTTTAAACATAAATATATAATTTCTTGGTGATTTATATATTACAAACAGATGGATAGAATTGAGACTAGAAAATCTTTCTGCTGGGGTGGTTCCATGTATGTTCGTAGAGGGCAGTTTTTTGTAAATGTCATAAATGTCCAAAATGTCAATGCCAATGTGTCACGACATGTCATGACATTTGACAAATTGACACATTGACAAATATTGACATTGACACGCTTTTTTAAATGTCAGACATTTGTGACATTTATGACATTTATGACATGTCGACATGTCATGACAAATGACATATTAACAACCCTAATTGCAGCGTGACATTTAAACCACCCTGCATGTGTAATTTATAAATTGTTAAATTATAAAAATTGTTAGGTTCAAATTTAATCAATATTTATTTATTTTTAGGATATCATACTTCATGGTTTGGCAGCTTTGCTTCTAGCAGCGGCAGGAACTTTAATCTTAGTTTCCGCAACCAGCATAAATTCCTATCTAACGGCACCCCTCGAGGGGTCCGGATTGCTATATTCTTTATATACAAAACCCATAACTTTAAACCCAACGAATATTTCGTAATTCTGTTAACGGGACTCGGCGTATGATTGTCAAGTATAGCTTTGGGTATGTCCAGTAATGCCTGACACACCCCTTGGGGGGTGTGGTCAAAGGTCAAAATGTGTTTTATGACTACTCCCATCATGTGGGGTGTCGTTGAAAAGCTCGTCTCAATTCCTGTTTAGTGTAATGGTAGGCAAAGCAGGTACAGCCAATTCCGAGGTCAGGGGTGTGGTCAGAGGTCAAAATGTGTCTCATGACCAGAGGGCGGATAAGTATGTATTTCTTGATGTATTTTTCTATGTTTATGTATTTTTTGTATGTATCTTTCTTTATGTGTACAGTCCTATGGGCCATAACGTAGCAACCCAGAAAGTCCTGTTTTGTTGGCTGAATGGAGCCTGCACGCGCTGTTCCCCAATTTGCACGGATTCATGTGAAATTTTAAACTTTGTCCTAGAGATGCGAAATTTGGCATGAACATGCACCAACATATGCTGCATCATAATATAACATCAATTCCCGTTCCGTTCGCTATAAATTTTTCAGGAAAAATTAAAAACCAAGAAATGATAGGGATGACATTTGGTTTTTGGATGGATAGAAAGATTCTATCCATCTGTTTGTAATATATAAATCACCAAGAAATTATATATTTATGTTTAAAAACTTGTTTTAAAACACCTAAAGTTTATCGAATTACGTTCTTTGCCTCATCTCTCATTCTGTTGAACTTGCTCTAGGAGCAACAGTTTGGCGACAATTAATGGTGGCTTGCTGCTACATAATAAAGCCATTGAGGGAGAGATGATAAGCTAGTTTATATGTATTAAACTAATATTTTCGAAGTCATATTTCAACTATGAGCTTAGCATTCTCTAAGGAGGGGAGCTTCGCCACCTGCCCTTCACAGATCTCGATGCCCTTTGGATATGTGGTAGGGTCCCATGAGTGTACTAAAACCCTGAAGTGGTTTGACTCCATGGCCACATTTGCGCCCGCCACACCCACTCAAAGGCGCCAAAACACGAAAAAAGCCCTGTTTTCATGTACTTTAAATGTCACCAAAAATCCAATTTTGCTCGGATTTTGACAAAATTTACATTTTTGTGATCCTAGATACTTGTGTGATCATATCCAGTAGATATCCCAACTTTTTTGAAATTTTGAATTTTTTCGAATAGTTCATCAGCTCGAAAATTTCGATAATTTCAAAAAAGTTGAGATTGCTATTGAATATTATCAGACAAGTATCTGGGATCACAAAAATGCAAATTTTATCAAAATCCGCGCAAAATTGGATTTTTGGTGGATTTTTGAAGTTGGTAACTTTTGTGGTTTTCATCCCTTTGAGTGGGTGTGGCGGACGTAAATGTGGCCATGGAGTCAAAGCACTGCAGGGTTTTAGTACACTCATGGGACCCTACCACATATCCAAAGGGCATCGAGATCTGTGAAGGGCAGGTGGTGACGCTCTCCTCCTAAGTCTCAATCGAGTTTTGAATTTTTGTGTCTTAAAACTTTCCCATCAACAGATTTTAAAACCTGTTAATCGCTGTGTGCTTTTTAGAAGGTTTTATTTCTTCAAAAAGCGAATAATTTTACAAAGGGAGGTTTATGAAATTAGGAAGTTAGAATGAAGATTTTTTAATTCTTTTTTTAAATTATACAGACATTTAACTATTTTGTTTCTATCTTGTCGAAAAAAATGCTAAGCTCGTAAATGCTGAAATTATCGACTGCTACAAGAAATAAAATCTTAATTAAAAAACACGGAGATGATCAGGTTTCAAAATCGTCATTTGAATAAACGGAGGGAAGGAAGGTTGAGACAAAAATTCAAAACCGTGTTTCTCACGGACCTGGTGCAAAAGGAAATTGTGGTCTATTTTCAACAGATTGCAGTCACAAAGGGTCTGGCGATTTATTTACATTATGTGTCATAAATGTCATAAATGTCGAATTTGTCCGTCATATTTGTCATAAATGTCGTATATTTCGGCCCAATGACATTTACCGACATTTACGGACATTTATGACATGACATTGACACTTTCGGCATGACACGACATTTACTCTTCGACATGACATATTGACAACCCTAAGTATGACACTTGAGCACTTCTGCAGAATTCGCGAGATAGCGAAGGTTTTAAGTTGGCGAAAACGCGTATTTTCACCATGCGAAACTATACGGAGTTCACCTCTCCGAGTTCCGATTATGTCCTGCGCTTCTCTTCGCCAGGTCATCGGTTTTCACCTTCCTCACATAATTGAATTTATTAATTTCCGACCTAGCTCTCATTAGATATGTTATACTTGGCTTCTACATAATTTGTTAACACTTTTTAATATTAAAAAGAAAAAGTTGTTATCAGTGGAATTTTTTAAACAGTTGGGTAAAAATAGTGGATTGGATTACCCTTTAAATTTCTTTCACATTGCATATTTTTATTTATAAACTTATTTGACCATAACAAAATGTTGCCTTGCCCAAAGGAGTGAATGAGATATTTCTAAATTACTTAGTATGTTATTTGTAGCACATAGAAATTTTACCCATCGTCATGATTGCAGCAAAATAGACATTTTGCATATGCCGATTTGCTTTTGCATAAATTCACATATCTTTGTCTATTTGCAAAAGGGGCAAAAAGGGGCAAGGATTTTTGTAGATGAGATATAAGGGTTTAAGAATGCATTTATAGTTTCTCGAAATACCACAGGACTAGACAGGATTTTCAACTTGAAATTTTTCCCATTTACCCCAATGTTAAAGGCCAAGTTTAAGTATAAGCCACGCCCTAACCAGTTGAAGAATTCGAATGAAACTTTCCAAAATTGAACATCTATATCAAAGGTATAGAAGAGGGTAATTTGTTTTCGCATCCGTGAGAATAGGTTTTGGCCCACAAATTCGGTATTCCGGACCAGTGTGCCCTCTGGTGGCAGCCACCACCTAGTAATGATATCGGAGCGTATAAACATGTCAATAAAATGGTTGCTGGGGTAAGAGGAGGAACGCTAGAATATAATTTCAAAAATATTCAAAAAGCTAAAATATCTAGTTTATAATTATAGGTTCTAACAATTCTTGCTGGATGTCTCTATTCTGCTGTTTTGATACTGATCAGGTCATGGAAATTGTAAAGATTGAAGAATAATTTAAAACAAAAATATTAAAGGATATGTACCAAGCCCGGCAAAATTATTTCAAAAAATTATCATTTTTATTTATTGATCATTGTATAAATTGTATCGCAAAAACTAAGCTGTTAGTAAAACAAATCACTAACAACCAATCAAGCAAACTTTTGTAATTTGTGATTAACAAATTACTCGCTTATTTCATAAATTTCTTATGTTTATTATATGTCCACAAGGACGTGAAAGGAAGGAAAGTCGAGTTTCGTTCGAATGGCGGGAATATTCAAAATACAGGGGATACCGCCAGACCCACGAACAAGGGCTGAGGTCATAAAGAGTCCAATCATTACAAATTCCGTTCACTTCCAAGAAATAGTTTCAGTTAAAAATATGTATGTATATAGAACAAATTTAATTTGAAAACCGGATAAACTCTCGCCCGGCGGGTGACGGGCTTATCCGCAAGTTTATTAGATTATAAAGTTGTCCTGCTCCTGATACATAATTATTTAGGCTGAGCTGGATTAACTCTGTTACTATCGGCTTGTTTGGTCGGAAGGCAAACAGGGCAGTCCGATTGCGTACAATGTTTCCAATGCGATAAGATTTGCCGAGAGGATGAACAGTGAGTTACGGTGCAAGATTTTCCGGCCTGGCAGATAGTCAAATGCGCCAACACGTCCTTCATGGTCCGACAATGCGGAAGGGTGCACTGGAAGATATGTAAAATTACCAGACATTAACAACTTGGTCTATAAGTTCACATTTTTTGTAAATGGCAACTTTCCTCTACCTCTGCACGGAATGAGGTGAGAGTAGTTTTTCAGTGTTTAATATTGTTCCCATCTTACACTCTTAAATCGAAATGTCCTTTAAAATGACAACATATTTGAGAATTACGGATTTGTGGGCCTTGACCTCGTCCTCAAGGTCATGAGGTCAAAAATATTAGTGTCCCTAAAGTGGCAGTCAGATTTTTTGTCAAAATGACACCACCTTTGAGGGTTTGACCTCGTCCTGAAGGTCACGAGGTCAAAAATTTTACGCCATTGAATTCGTGGTGAAATGTCCTTTAAAATGACGCCCATATGAAACTTAAATTGAAATTTAATTTAGCCCACACCCCCTGGCGCTGTAGGGTGTGGTCCGGTTTAACCCATTTTCGGAATCGAACGAGAATTAAAAATTATATACACAATGGCGAAAACGGAGTTTGATTATGTTGACTCGTTCTGGGGATATCCTGCTTAAAGACGGACAGACGGACGGACAAGACAAGTAGCGAACGCTACTTAATAAATCCTTTATCTTACCTTTGCACCATCTGGAGCTTGAATTTCCCTTTTCTGACACTTGTATGCATGCAGGAGCACGATAAGTTGTTGTTGGATAAGTTTTCGCTTTTCGTGATCCACATTTGACGGTGCGGGAGCTTTTGGTTGATCATTGACTGGCAAATCATTGCTGATAGGCTGTCCCTCAACGACTTGGTTGTGACCATGAGCGCCGACCCCAGTTTGCATCATAGGAATATCATCATTCGCAACACCGCTACCCGTATCGTCCCGGAAGTTCAGGGATTCCAGCAAGCCTGGCAGATCAGCAGGGTTAGTTTCATCACTGGAAGGAACAATTTTAAATTAATTACTGGATTTTAGTCAATAAAAATCAACTAACAATGGAGGTCTCCCAACGTATGGTAAACAAATTTGGACCAAACCAGTGTCAATTGATCACAAATATAAGTAGCGTGAAATTTGCAATTGGCACTAGCTGCCAATGCGCAGGTTTGGCGGAGATATTTGCATCTAAAGTGCGAAAATTGCACAGCAAATTTGGAAAATGATAAATTTACCGGCCTTGGGGTGCGTTTTATCCTCTTTTTATGCAAATGTCTCCGCTAAACTTGAGCATTGGGAGATTGTGCCATTTCCAAATTTCATACTAATTTTATTTGTGATCGATTGACGCTAATTTGGTCCAAATCTGTGCGCATAAGGTGGGAGATCTCTATTGTAAGTGACTAATTTATTCAATATGTAAATGACTAGTATAACTTAGAGGTTTTAAAATTACCAACACTGCATTCCTTCAGGATCAGGCACTCCTTCAGCGTCCATAATTCTGAAATTTATGGAATTGCTTAATCCTGATGTTGGATATGCACTCTAAGAAACCCGGTAACTAAGTTATTACCAGGCGGAGTAGCTATGTGGCTCTACTGCATGGTAATTAATTTATTATTGTGTAGAAGAAAATTAGTTACCAACTGGTAATATTTTCAAATTTCGCGACCGGGGTTATTACTGGTTTGATAGCATTTGATAGCAAAATGTCTACCACTCAATAATACATTAATTACCATGCGGTACAGTCACATATTTAGATACTCCGCCTGCTAATAACTTGTTACCGGGTTTCTTAGAGTGTGCATAAGAATTACAAAGATTGCAATACATAATATCGAGACAGAATTTAAATCTCTGCTACTTTTGCACATACCTTGTAGAAATTAGGAGCAAATTTAATAGTGCTAAAAAAAATTAGACAAATTTGTTACGCAATTAATTAATTATGCAATAGGCAGCCTTAACTTGCGATAAGTAACGATACTGATTTCAATATTATTTGTGCAGGTTGAATTTTTGAGACTTGCTCCTCGCCACTGACGAGAACGTGGATTGGCCACATTGCATTATGGGTTGTGCATCTTCACTTTAATTCAATGTGACAAAAAGTTTAAAAATTTCAATACCTCAAAAATATGAAAATAATTATTGTAAAATCATGTTCTGGATTTTGAATCAGAAATTTTTCCGTATTTTTTAATCTTAATAAACTGAACTTATGTATGTGATACGGTTATATTTATTTGGGATGACGTGATACGTGTGTAATGCTCTGGCTTTGCCTCATTGAAAGTATAGGAGGGGATTATACAAATAATGATGAGACACGCGTGTATATATGAGTATTTTTTTCTGCTATCGCCCCCTCCAAACATTTGTATTTTTAATTTGAAAATTTTTGATTTCAGCAAGTGTACTTCGGTATTTCAATACAAAAAATGCGTTTTAAAAAAATCCATATATCAAGGGTACGTCTGAAGGACCAAAAAGGACATTTTGGGACGTTTATACATATCCCTGCATTGTGAACCAACCAAAGGTCGCATTGACATGCGGTTTCGATCTTTATTATCCAGATAATATTGTCTAACAACAATTTGAATAAGAAGTCGATACGTGACCTCTTCGACCTAAACTTTGACCTTTATGGAAAATTCAAATTTTCCAGTCTGTTAGCACGCTATTTTATTCTCCATGCGCTATTAGAGTGATAACTTAGTATCAGCGCATAGCTCCCTACCATTTGGAACGAAAACCATGTAATCATGGTAGAGAAATTAAAATTAGAGACATTGTTGCTGAGAGGATTATTTGCCAATGCTTAACAACATTGATTAAATTCGTATTACTGTACAAATTGTGGACCGATTTTCAAAATTCTGACTTTTTTGCAAACCTTAGATCCACTGGCGAAATATATATTTTCTGATTTTTTTCATTCGACCACTCCCCCTCGAAATTAAGGTCACAAGTTCAAAAATTGTATAAAATAAAATTAATACTTACAATGGAATTTCAAAGCACAAAAATCGTATTGCATGTCGAAAAATTACTTCAACCCGCTGGATACGTTACCCAATGTTCGAGTGGTCACATACCAATCCCCAGTGGGTGTGGCCCTCGACAATTTTTCTAATTTTCTTCAAAAGTATGGGTTGTAACATATCATTTATCTCAGCTCGATGAGGACATTCCGATTGAATAATTATAATTTTAAAACCACCCCCCATTGGGTGTGATCGCCAGTTACTTTTGATATTTGATAAAGCAATACGTAGCAAGTATTGGAATTTCAACATTTAGATAGGTAATTTGTTTTTAGATTTTACTACTACATTGAGGATCTCAAACTTGAGCTGAAAAAATTTATATCGCGCCTGGCTTGTATAAACTTAACGTTGGCTTGAAATACTACTGTCGCGAGGGGTGGAGGACTGGTTTTCAATTTTTAGACTTTGCAAATTGGGTGGTGACCCAATCATGAAGCCAAGAAAATAGCATCACAGGACATGGTTTTGTTCAAATAAAAAAGTAACTGGAGACCACACCCAATGGGGTGTGGTTTTAAAATCATAATTATTCAATCGGAATGTCCTCATCGAGCTGAGATAAATGATATGTTACAACCCATACTTTTGAAGAAAATTAGAAAAAGGGAAAAAGGGCCACACCCACTGGGGATTGGTATGTGACCACTCGAACATTGGGTAACGTATCCAGCGGGTTGAAGTAATTTTTCGACATGCAATACGATTTTTGTGCTTTGAAATTCCATTGTAAGTATTAATTTTATTTTATACAATTTTTGAACTTGTGACCTTAATTTCGAGGGGGAGTGGTCGAATGAAAAAAATCAGAAAATATATATTTCGCCAGTGGATCTAAGGTTTGCAAAAAAGTCAGAATTTTGAAAATTGGTCCACAATTTGTACAGTAATACGAATTTAATCAATGTTGTTAAGCATTGGCAAATAATCCTCTCAGCAACAATGTCTCTAATTTTAATTTCTCTACCATGATTGCATGGTTTTCGTTCCAAATGGCAGGGAGCTATGCGCTGATACTAAGTTATCACTCTAATAGCCCATGGAGAATAAAATAGCGTGCTAACAGACTGGAAAATTTGAATTTTCCATAAAGGTCAAAGTTTAGGTCGAAGAGGTCACGTATCGACTTCTTATTCAAATTGTTGTTAGACAATATTATCTGGATAATAAAGATCGAAACCGCATGTCAATGCGACCTTTGGTTGGTTCACAATGCAGGGATATGTATAAACGTCCCAAAATGTCCTTTTTGCTCCTTCAGACGTACCCTTGATATATGGATTTTTTTAAAACGCATTTTTTGTATTGAAATACCGAAGTACACTTGCTGAAATCAAAAATTTTCAAATTAAAAATACAAATGTTTGGAGGGGGCGATAGCAGAAAAAAATACTCATATATATATATATATTTGCTTTTACTCGGGACCATAATACATAATATATTAATGAATATGCAATCTATTTGCCATTTTTAGAATTTGGTCTCGAATTCAGCATATTCTTGACAATTTCGAAATTTCACACAATAACAAATTTTTAACGACGTATCGATTTTTTGATGCAATTTTGCATCGCTTAACTAATACGTATTAGAGTTTATCCAAGTAATGATTATTTAGTTTTTGGATTAAATTTCTTAAATGGAGACACAACAAAGTCAAATCGCGTATTTGAACGTCATGCTTACGTACAGAGTGGGTTTAAATGTCAGGTTACAATGGAAAATTTTTTAATGGGAAAAATTCTTAAATTTCCATTAGTTATGGATTTAGGATTGAGATTTGTATTAATTTTTATAAAAACCAATGGAACACTGCTGACAAAATTCTTAAAATATTAAATTTCAAAGGAAAAATTTCAATAACTAATGGAGCTTTGGGAGTTTTTCCCATTGAAAATGTTTCCATTGTAACGTGACATTTAAACCACCCCAAATATATTTTATTTTGAAACGTCAAGATATCATATGTGCATCATCAGTTCAGTATAATAAGTATCTTTTATTGAATTGAGTCTATTCTCATTTATAAAATGTTTTATCTTAAAATGAATTTTATTAAATACCAAAACGATTTTGGTTTCTAGACTCGATTATTAAAATAAAGTAAGAATGGAGAAAATATAATTTAACTTACCTCTTTCTTTGTGATGATAATGTGTCACAATTTGTCACGTTGATTTTGCACACAAGTTCTTAAATTTAGTTTAAATAAAGTCTTGATTGTCTGCTTTGGCGTGAGGTTAGTTTGTAACTAAGGTACTTGGGTAGTAAATAAATACATTGATGTAACCAATTTACATAAATGTGGTATGCATTAAGGGTGCTTTGAATACAGTTAAATATGTGTTTTTACATTTCTAAGAACTTCCGCATTTGTATTTCAAGAATAATAAATTCCTCTCTAAATCCATGCAATGAATTGGGGAGCATTGCCCCTATCTTTTCAGGTTCACCTGACCTTTCTTCCTTTCTCAAGACCAAAAAGTCTGCTTCTATATTTATTTATCTTGCATTCTGGAAACGAACAACCTCTCTTTTTAGAGAAGAACATACCTGTCAAAAAAACTTTGTTTCATTCGATGTCAGTCATCCCGATTTCTGACTGAAGATATTTGTTCACATTCAGTCATTTTCTCTGAAACTCAGAAGAGTTAGATTTGTTACATATTTTCTCCGGGTTCGCACATATGCGAGAGATTTGTCCCACTTGAGATGAGAAGATGCTCAATTTCTTTATTTCATACCACGCCATGCACCACATGGCAAGTAGAAAGCAGATCGATAATCATGTATTCACAGCTGCTGGTCATTTCCTACGTAATTCTTTGGCAGATATTTCACACAAATTTTGGCAATATTTATATCTGAAATATTTTAATCATCATCTCAAAATTGTCGTTTTATTATGTCAATCGTAATACTTGGACGTGTAAGGGGGGAAAATATTTCTGATCCAGTGGAGCACGTACTAGATTTAAATTCCAATTTAGAGGTAAACCAATTCGTAAATATTTGCATTTAGGCAATTATGTGTTTGCTGAAATACTTAATACATACGGAACGGCTTACTTAGCTTTTCGAATTTTTGGCAAATTAAATATTCGTAGAAAATTTACAGAAATTGGAAATTTTAAAAATCCCAACATTAGAATATATATAATCTATGCATGGACATATTTTGTTGGGTGACCAGACTCTAATTATTTATTAACAGAGACACCCAGACCAGTTGCGGTAGCACATTTAAGCCAAATGGCCGACATTATGTAAATACAATTTATTTCGTAGCTCATTCCAAAATATTTTATTAAAATGCGTTCCGCAAATTTTGCAATTTTAACAATTCATGCTCACATCTTAGAAGCCTGAAAGGTCGGTTCACAACTTTTTAATATTGCGGGTTACTTATTTTTGCGTAGGAAAAAGTCGTTTTTTACCGACGTAAACTACACATTTTTCGCAAATTCTTCATCAATTAGAATTTTCGTTTCATTTTCAAATAGATTTCCATTTAAAATTATGTAGTCCCACATTTCGCAACTTCACCTGTCGCGAACCACGCAGACATACGACGCTTAAGTGAGTACCCCCAATATACGTAATTTAATGACACGTATTTCTGTTAATATGTACAAATTAAATTTTAGCAATTAATCAGCATAATTCCTACACATTTGTATACAGGACCAGCATCCAGAGATTGACGACTATCTCGTCTAAGTGGATCCAGGCCCACCCCCCTCCAAGTCTACTCGAGTCGCATCTCCTACACTTTTCGCACCCGGAATGCCACGTGTGGCTTCCTAAAACGCTTCCTCGCCGCCTTAACAACACTACCGTTCATGTGCTACACCTTAATCGCTTCTGTGGGCCAAAACCTGGGTGGGATCCCGATCAGAGGTCAACGCCGCCGATTATACGCCGCCGCGCCGCCAGACGCCGGTAGTGTTTTACGCGCCGCCGCCGCCGATAAATCTTATTTCCTATACCTACAACATTGTGGCGCCGCGCCGCGCCGAAAAATCCTCGAAAATTGTCCCCGCCGCCGCCGACAAACTCGTCAGCGTTGACCTCTGATCCCGATGTACTGCGAGGGCGAAGGGGCCTCCATCCTGACCCAAGTGGGCTTCACGATTCCACTAGTTTTCCCCATCCTCGTCACAATTCAGGAAAATTTGGCATTGTAAACGTTCCGAACTACATGAAACTGAGGAACCGTTTTTAACGAAAAAACGAGCAACATATTTCATAGGGTGGCTCTATTTTTGCAAATTTGTCTGCTCTTAATAACGCTCGTATGGGGGTAGTCTCCCTGATTATGTTTCGTACCTTGTCCAACTTCTGGGTTTTTGAGGGGGCCGAAAAAATATTACAAATGATTACAAGATTATAAAAAGACTGCTTTACCACTTCGACATACATATGTGCATAATATACACGCACTTGTTGTTGATGTATTCATGTCATGGTTTACAATAAATGGAATTTTTATGTGGGTTAAGTTTACCCTATTGATCTAATAGCTATGTTATTTACTTCAAAATTTACCTTACGAACATTAATTCGTAGCCAACAGACACTAACAATGCAAGTCTTTTACGTGTACAACTCAGATCTGGTTGGGACCAATTTTATTTTGTTCACCACAAAAAATAAACATACCCGTATTTTTTCGTTTTTCATAATGCGCTAATTTGAGCGCGGGGCGCGAATTTTAAAACATTTTTCAGCCAAAACCTCGGTTTTTAAAAATTCTGTAAATTTTCGAATTTTAGCGCGAATCCAGAAATTCTAAAACATGTCTCTTCAGAATGAATTACTTGACTTATGAAAAATCCTCATGCACCTATTATACGAAATTAGATTGTAGACACATTGGTGGACACTCATTATTGTTACAATATCAAAAATTTATTTGATTAAAAGGATTAAATTGAGTTCTTTTTAATTTATTTTTTTGAGTAATAGATAAAATTAATAAAATGGCAATAGACACTACTAGAGCAGCAGCCCCTCCTAATTTATTAGGGATCGACCGAAGGATAGCGTAAGCGAACAAAAAATATCATTCAGGTTGGATATGAACGGGGGTAACTAAAGGATTTGCAGGGATAAAATTTTCTGTGTCTCCTAGAAGATAGGGGTATATTAAAGTTATATACGGTGTATATATGGATGTATATATACAAATGTATATATAACTGTATATATACACCTTAATTAATCGCGGCTCTTCCCCCGGCCGCCGGGGGAAGAGACGCGATGCACCAGTACGCCGAGTATGTGTGAATCTGCCAAATCTTGCCGAAAAACCCTTTCGTGTAGACAGTATTCAGGCCTGGAATTAAGGTAAATATGTGTACATATGTAGCACAATATATAAACTCTATGTTTGTTTTAGCAATGACAATCAAGAACATTTGGCATTTTCTACGGTTACAAATTTGAATAGTTTTCCTGCATAATCCGACATGAGTTTGTGCAGGATTGAAAACGATAAATAGAAAAAAACTGTGAGGAAATTTGGCTCCATCTTCTGCTGATTTATGCAACGATTTTATGCAAAAAACTGCAATATATGTGCATACTCTTCTACAGAATATGACCCTTCGACATTTTCTGCAAAAACGTGTAAAATACAAACGCACAATGTAATGTGTATAGAGTTGTTCTTGTTTACTGCAAAAGTAGACAGTGATTTCACCTCGGGTAAATCTAAATCTTGTACATGGAAAATCATTTTGACATCTTTTAATTTACATATATTCTAACCACCTTTTTTGCCACCCATTTCCTAAACTATTAGTAAAATATCAGGAGGTGTACCTCTTTTTGAAATATATATATTTTTACCCTAATATTTACCTTCGTCTTCCGCCTCTCTCTCCAGCCTATGCGCCTCATTCATCATCTCCACCGTTTCCTTCGCCTTCCTCGTCAACTCAAAACGGAACAAAATCGTGCACATGATGGGCCCCAGCCACCCATAGTCCAGCAGCTTGTTCGTCATGTCATATTCGCCGGAAGGGCCCTCTGCAACCCTGCTATCCTCAACCCAAATCCCGTCAAAAAGTGAACCGTTCTCGCGAAATAAAACCAATACATGGTTTTCGTGACTCCCCGTCTAAATTTCCCCTTAACTTCGACGACCTTATCTTCCTCCCACGAAATCTTGAACGGTACGATGCACATGGCACAGATCACTTCCAGGGTGAAAAGGTTCATTCTATAGGCTCTCGTTAATAAGGCGTTTTTCAAGCGAAACAGGACGTGCCGTTTAAAAAATCCCATTTTTCAAGTTGTAGATTTTTTTCAGAAATATATTTACACTCTTAGAAAATGCTATTCGATATTCCTGTCCAAGGCATATGTTTGACTCTACCGGCGTGGTAATTAGGCTTTAGTAAGGCTATGGTAATGAAAATTTACCACTTAGGAAAAAATTGCTACCAAATCGGTAAAAAATTACTACCAATATAGAGCACCTATATTGGTAGAGCACCAATATTACAAGAAGATCTAGTGTTCCGCCCTTATCTACGCAATTCAAACTATTTAACTCCATCGCACGGGCAACTCTTCTTTATGGCTCATCCATATGGGCAATGAAATTCGTGGACGACATCGATAAACTGCAAATCCGTTTCCTGAAGAAACTACTCAGACTTCCTCCATCTACCCCTGATTACTTTGTTCGATTGGAAACAGGTGCGCGGGACACAAGACTGCAACATCTTGCTGACACATTGGGTTTCTGGGAAAGAATATCAAGAAAAAAAGAAGACTCCGTAAGGCAATGTATGATCATACAAATGAAATGGACACGTTTAAACTCGACACCAATGCAAAGAAACCATTGCTGGGGCGAAGATTTTCTTGATCTCCTCAAGGTCGCAAAATGTGAAAACCTCCCATCAACTTTGACGTCCCTTGTGACTATGCGTAAAACCCTCCTAATTAACTATGAACTGCATATTAAGAATCAGGACGTCTCGAGGATGCAAAACTCCAGCTTCATTCCACACTACAAACCCATCAAACTGAAATCTACTACAGAAGGATATTTCAACATGAACCACTCGACCTAAAAATGCAGTTTGATGACCCAATTGCGCCTAAATAAATTTAGCATTAAAATTGGAGAATCCTATATCCCCCTAAATTCAAATTGCCCCCTACGTAGTGACACTTGTTCTGTTGAACACCTTATGTTTTCTTGTACTTCTCTAAGATCTGAACGACAATCATTAATTTTTCCATTAATTCCCAATTTTAATCCAACTGAATTTACTAATATGCAACTTTATATTGCTCTTTTTTCTTCGGCCTATAGTAATAGAGTACTGAATAACTTATTTCTTTTTTGGCACAAAGTTGCCAAATATTTTGACCTATGTTCTGATCAATAATTACTTATTTTAATTTTATTTAACTTTACGATATTCAATATGTAACCATTCATGATGTGCAAAGGCTGTTGGCTATGATGCAATAAATCAATTATTATTTATATAGACCGTTTCTTTCACAGGGTCGTAATAAATTTCCTTTAAAAGCAAAACTACCTGTGTAACGGATACTTTCTCTTTCTTAACTGTTACATAAGCCAGAATCTTTGGCGACCTCAGGAATGTGTAGCAATTCAGTTTGTTATTTCTAATTTAAAATGCAATTTCCAAAATAGAGTGAGACGTCAAGTTCGCTACCTGATTAAACCTTTTTTCATCCTTAAATCCAAGGTTGACAGCACAAATTTCCTTTCTTTGGCATTCTGTGCCTCCAGCCGCAAAAACTCCATCAAATTTTCTAAATTGGTAGCAGAAGTCAAATCTGATTTCTTCTCGCGTACCCTCAAATTACTATTCTGCCATCTGAGTAACACTTGCTGTGGCAGACTGGATTCCACTAATGGATAAATGAGTTCACTTGGATCACTAACTTTCCCCAACGACTCGAGATTCTTCAAATGACCTTCCAACTGGTCATGCAATTCTTCCACGTCGGCATCTTCTCTTGAATCCGCGGCGCTATTGATAGCCAGGCCCAACAATTCTCTAATATAAATTTGGCGTAAAATCTTCTCATCACCAAACCGGGACTTCAGCTTCTCAACCACCAAAGGATAATTCTGATCCGACCGTGGATAAATCTTGATCACTTTTTCTGCTTCTGATCCGGGGACGATGGCTTGAATCAAATACTGAAACTTCACGTTTACTTGCAATTCATCATCTTCGTGAATCTGACGGTATTGAGCCCACCACCCCAACCAGTTCTTCCAACTCCCATCGAATTTCTGTAGCTCGATCTTGGGCAGTTTGAAGTTTCTATTCTTTTTAACTCGCTCCCCATTCACGGTGACGTAACTACTACTTGCACTCGGACTTGGTGGACGGATTTCTGCATTAAGAATCTTCTCAATATCCATGATAGCAACTCTGATTCTATCTGAATATTCTTCATTCATTGCACTCTCCTCCCCATAAGACTCCGCCGTGCAATTGTCATCCAACATCTGGGTAAGCACTTTTTCATCATGTTCTCTGATCGACGTCTGCAGGGATTCCAACTTCCTTAACTTGATGGTAAGTTCTCTCGAGTCCTTTGGATCTTTCGCCAACTCAGCAACTACACCATCCACCATCTTGGTAATGGAAGCTCGAACAGGAGCCCTCGCCTTCTTCAGTCGATCCATTATGTTATCTCAGATTCAACAAACAAAATCAATTAGAACAATACACGCTTATTAACTCAATCAGCAACAACGCCGACCTCTATGGCTCCCGAACGCTCAGGATGGGGCCCTCAACGAGGCAAGACAGTAATTTATTAATAGACGAATAAAGTTGAAGTTCCTCTCGGGTCGGACACGCCGATTTCAATCTGGTCGGTCACTCCGGACCCACGGACTACTTCACAGCAACAATAAAAACTTGAAAGGTATCACCTGAACAGCCCCCGAATACCCAGGGTCGGGTCCTCAATGAGGCAAGGCTTGATGTGATCCTCTCCTTCGAATCTGCTCCTCGTCCGGACAGCAACAATCGCCCAGGATTTCCACGGAACACTTTTTGCACGTACACTAATTCAATCTGCTCCTCTTCCAGACAGCAACAATAGCACAGGATTTCCACGGAACAGTCTTTTGCACGTACAACTAATTCACTCAAAAGGTCACAACTCACTGACCACTATAACTAGTCAACTTTCAACTAAAACTGACCCAACGAGCAATCACGTCGAGGTCACCAATAATGTAAAAACCAAGCTATCACCTACCCAGAGTATAGTGTCTTTACGAATATTTAATTGTGCCTTGCTCGTTGGAATTAAAGAAAGTGACTGAGTGAATATACGATTATTTTATCTACTTAAACTGGATTTTATTTTCAACAAATTCCTAATTTGTCAACACAATTCAGAGCTCTGCACTAACACGAGTTGATTGGTGACTTACTATTAACAAATTAATCGTGGACATCAATTACAAAGAATTAACAATTCTT